TGAACCAGATGGGTTCTTCCAACAATTGACTGTGGTTCCAAGATCATCATTAGGCTCAGTTCCAAATTTTTATTGATTTGATTTATTACTGTCACGTGTACCAAAATGCATGTCTTATGTGCTCTACAGGCAGATCGTACTATATACGTGCATCAGGGTAACAGAACAGAGTGCAGGATAGAATGTTACAGCTACCGAGAAGGTGCAGAGAGAAATCAACATTAACCTTAAAGAGGTCCATTCAAAAGTCTGATTACAGCCAGGAAGAAGCTATTCTTGAATCTGTTCGCACGAGTATACAAACTTTTATATCTTCTGCCTGACTGAAGGGAGTGGAAGAGAATATAGCTGAAGTGGGAGGGGTGTTTGATTATATTGATTGCTTTCCCAATGCAGCAGGAAGTATAGATGAAGTTAATGGATGGGAAGCTGGTTAGCATGATCACAAACTGTGCTGTGTTCACAACTCTGTGGTTTATTTCTGTCTTGGGAGGAGCAGTTGCCATACTGCGCTGTGATGCATCTGTAAGAAATTTTAAGAGTCTTTACGGAAATGCTGAATTTCTGTAGTTGCATGAAGAAGTAGAGGCACCGCTGTGCTTTCTTGACCGTAGTGTCAATGTGGATAGATCAGGACAGAATACTGGTGATTGTCACTCCCAGGAACCGGACGCTCTCGATCACCTCCATTTCAACACCACTGATGCAGACAGGGGCATGCCTTCCATTCTGCTTCTTGAGGTCAATGACCAGCTCCTTCATTTTGCTGATATTGATGGAGAGATTGTTGTGTTCACACCATGCTGTCAAACACACTAGCTTCTTCCTGTACTTTTTGATTGAGATCCGACTTTCAAAGGGAGTGTAGTCAGCAAACTCGTAAACGGAATTGGTGCGGAATTTGGTCACACTGTCATGTGTATAGTAGTGGGCTGAGTACACAGCCTTGTGGAGCACCGGTGTTGAGGATTATGATGGAGGTGGTGTTGTTGCCTATCCTTACTGACTGTGGTCTGTTGGTCAGGAAATCGAAAATCCCATTACAGAGAGGGTAGCAGAGTCCTAGGTCCTGGAGTTTGGGATGAGTTTGTTTGGAATTATGGTGTTGAATGCAGAACTGTAGTCAATAAGTAGGAACTTGACATAGGTAACTTTGTTGTCCAGATGCTGAAAGGATGTGTAGGGCCAGTGAGATGGCATCTGCTGTGGACCTGTTGTGCCAGTAGGCGAATCGTAAGGGATCAAGGTAATCTGGTAGGCCGAAGTTGATTTGAGCCATCAGTAACCTCTTGAAGCATTTCATTATTATGCATGTCAGAGCCACCCGACAGTAAACATTAAAGTACACTGCACAATTGAATTCAAATTCCACCATCTGCCATGGCGAGTTTTGAACATAGGTCCTCAGAATAATACTGGGGTCTCAGGATTTACAGTTTAGTGATCATACCAATAAGCCATTGCCTTCCCTTAACACCTCACTTTAGCCTCAAATACTTTTTGGAGTAAGAGTGTTGAGATTTCCACTACCCTTTCTGAGTAGAGGTTATTCCTAACATCAGTTTGGGCACACAAACTTTAATCTTAAGGTTATTTCCACTTATCTGGCCTCTCAAATTGTCCAGAGTCTCACCCCTTCTGTCCATTGCCCTCGAGGTGGACTATGGTAGGAAAGATTGTTGTCAACTCTGTGGAACATGCCATGGTCTGTAGATAAATGTAGTGCTCTTTGTCACAATTCATTCCAAGTAGCTCTGTGATCTACATCTCTGCTCTACAGGCTGTTCCCAGATACACAAACTAAGATATGCATCAATTGTGGTTGGAGAACAGGAATTGTCCATTTCTCAATGACCAGACACACAGGCATTTTTAGTTTGATATTATGTTGTTGCAATCAGGTGCATCGGGCTCCTGTCAATATAAAAAACTGCAAACTTCGCTGAGGGCTAGATCTAGCTCAATCTGAAAACTGAAACATGAATTCAATGAAAGATGCCCTGTGGTCTTCCCAAAACCTGGTTTTTCAGTGCAAACTGGCACAAGATCCAGGTTTACATGCTGAGGAATGCCCTAAAAGCTTAGGGCAGTTGCCACAGAGGCACAATGGGGAAAGGCCACAGTCAAGTCCAGTCAGTCTTAATATACAGAGGGGTTGGAAACTATAAAACCCGTGGGCTGTACGCCTGAGAAGAAATGTACACTGTGAACATCAGAATGTTTAAACTGAATTGAGGCACCTGAGTGTGGAACATGGTGCAAGTAGAAAAGTTGAGTTCTATCGCACTTTCTGTATTTTTCAGTGAGATGTTTGCCCTCAGGCTGTATGCCCGACAGAGAATGCATACGGTAAACATTAAGGGTATTATAATTCTCCCGAGATACTCAAGAATAGAACAGCAGTATGGAAACATGTTGAATGTTTTTGCACTCTAATTTTTTCCAAATCAAAATGTTTTTTATTTATTCATACACATTTTATGAATAAAGTATTTTTTTGGAAAAAAACATTTTATTTTTATTTGCCCTACCTAGTCTTTTAATCATCATAAACACTTGCACATCATCTTCTGTACTTAAGGAAAAACAAGCCTCGTCTATATAATTTCATGATTTAACCCAACTAGTCTCATTAGCTGTGACAGATCTAATCTGTACTTCAATGTAGGAACGTATGCTACATTGGATGTCGTAAAAGATCATGAGACAATTTGGTACATCCTGACCCTGCACAAATTAAACATTGTGAACTTTCAAAGGATCTGCATCCGAATAATTCACATTTTGGACAGGTTTCGAAGCTTGCAGCCTTCTCAAAATGACAAAGTTGCAACTTGATGCTTCACAGAAGATAGGAACAGGAGTAGGCCATTTGGCCCTTCGAGCCTGCTCCAGCTTCAACATGATCATGGCTGATCAATCCAACTCCGTGTCTTTTGTGAGTTTCTTCCTGTACCCTTTGATCCCTTTAGCCCTAAGAACTATATCTATCTCCGTCTTGAAAACATTCAATATTTTGGCATCAACTACTTTCTGTGGCATAGAATTCACCATTCTCTGTCTAAAGAAATTTCTCCTTATCTCAGCCCTAAATGGCATATCCCGTATCTTTAGACTATGACCCCTAGTTCTGATCTTCCCATTCATTGGGAACATTTTTCCTGTGTTTAACCTTGGTCAAAATGCATCCAAGTACTAAAATACACATCTACTCAAAAAGCACATTTAAATAATCTTAACATTCTCAAGATCCTGTGCATTATGATTTGAAAAATAATTCTGAAAATCACAGGAATTGTCCATTTCTCAACGACCAGACACACAGGCATTTTTAGTTTGATATTATGTTGTTGCAATCAGGTGCATCGGGCTCCTGTCAATATAAAAAACTGCAAACTTCGCTGAGGGCTAGGCTCGCTCAATCTGAAAACTGAAACATGAAGGCAGAAAACTTTACTTTTGGGAAAGATGGGACAAAGTAGTATTGCTCTCCTTCTCTTGCACCACCACAGTTCAAGAAAGATAAGCATGTTTTTTCATAGCATCATAGAATCCCTACAGTGTGGAAGCAGGCCATTCAGCCAGTCGAGTTTACACCGACCCTCCAAAGATCATCCCACACAAACCCATCCTCCCCTAACGTATTCCTGTAACTCTGCATTTACCATGGCAAACCCAACTAGCCTGCACATCCCTGGACACTATGGGCAATTTAGAATGGCCAATCCCCCTAACCTTCACAACTTTGGACTGTGGGAGGAAACCAGAGCACCCAAAGAAAACCCACGCAGACACGGAGAGAATGTGCAACCTCCGCACAGACAGTCACCCAAGGCTGGAACCGAACCCGGGTCCCCTTTGATTTTTGCAAATGTCATCTTATCACTTGCCATTGCTTTGGACCAGTTTTCTTCCCTTTATTACAGGGAAAAAATTTCATCTTTGCTATTAGCAGTCATAGCATTACAATGCACTCCTTAGCTAAAATCAGTCTCAGACAACACAGCAGGAAACTGTTTGGCCTATCGTGCTTGTACCAGTTCTTTGGACAAACTCCAAATCTTAATTTCATTCCTCTTAAGCCATACTGCTGCAAATTTTCTTTTCCAAGTGTATGTTCAATTCTCTTTTGTGGTTCTAATATCAATCTGTAAGAAACACCTCAGTATAATTCCCTGATAAACAACCATTCACACTATTTTCTGTCATGTAGGTTATTTTGTACCAAGACTGCCACTGCGATATTCAACCCAAAGACTACAAGCTTGCTGACAAGTCTGTTACTTGATGCTCTACCAAACACGTTCTAAACCCCATACACACGAATCAACTAGCCCACTCTCATCAACCCTGTTTCCATGCTAAATACTTTGCCACTGGTAGAAATGGGAAAACCACTGCTCTGAAGTGATACAGTAGCATGCCACCCTTCTCTATTCTTTGAATAAACTATAACAGTGCACCTACAAATCTCTTCCACTTTGTACTCCTTCCAATAGAATGTCCTGCTTTAAAGTTTTCCAATAGCGAAGACTAATTACATGAATTATACATGGTAACACCGAGCATAGAAGGTACCGTGTTTCAATTCTTGGCAAATGTTCAACTGACAGTACCTAGATAGAAACATAGTAATGAAGGAAGTGGAGTGAATATCATTTATTTTAGTGTTTACTGCTTTAGGGTTAGGCAGAAGTTCACTGTTGCTATTCTGCAATTCCTGTCACAAATGCATGTTTGCAAATGTGAGGGAGGAACAGAACTGTCATTTATCATCAGATAGAATTACCTACCATCATTAAGATTTATCGAAGTTTATGGATACAGGTATTCCATTTGCTTATAACAACTTAAAAGGATGGAGTATTTTTTTTCCAAGGATTGAAACGGGGAATACTTTTCTAGAAACTTAAGAGTTGTAAATTTTGCATCCTGTTTTATTTTAAAATGTTGTGAATTTCCCCTTTACAGAAGCAGGGCTTGAACAGTTCAGCACCTACCTGCAGATGCGGCCTTGGCTCCGGTGAACGTTCATTATCCAAGCTGTTAGCCCGTTCATTCTGCTGCCTTGCCGGCTGCCTTTCTTTCAGGGATGTGCTTCTTCCACGGCGTCCCACCTGTTTCCCTTCCGTCCTCATGAAGCAATGACACAAAATAAAAATCAAATCAGGAGCTCCACACACCAGGAGTGTAGGTCACTGAGCTGAACAAGATCTGTATTTGTAGTGCAGGAGCTCAAACCTGCTCTGTTATTCAATTTGATCTCTTACCTCAGCACCACCTTTCTATACTTTCTCTTCAATCCTCCTCGTATCTGAAAGTCTATCAATCTCTGTCTTCAACATGTTCGATGACTGAGCATCTAGAACTTGCTTGAGTAGAGAATTCCAAAGATTCACAATCGTTGGAGTGTAGTACCTAATGTCAGTCTGAACCAATCCCTTGGTTGTGGACTCCTCAAATAGATAAAGTATCTTCTTAGCAGCTACCCTACCAAGCCCTTTCAGAATTTCAACAAGATCACATTTCATTCTTCTAAATTTGAGGAAATAAAGATCTAGACCATTCAATTTGTCTACATATAGAACACCTCTCACATATCCCAGGAGTCTGTCTGTTGAAGTTTTGCTGCATTCCCTCCAAAGTAAGTATGTCCTTCCTTAGGAGACCTGACCAAACTGTTGGCAGGTGTGGCTTCACCAAGGCCCCATACAAAAGGCCTGTGGCAAAACATCTTGCATTTGTACTGCAATTCCCATTAGTGCGGTGGCTTCCCTAATTGCCTTGGCGTCTCAGCTTTCCACAATTTGTACACAAGCCAGCTTCCATCGAATACTAACATTTCTCACTTTGAAAAAATTTTCTGCTTTTTTATTTTTCCTTCAAAAGAACTTCATACCTCTCTGCATTATATTCCATTTGCCAAGTTCTTGTCCTAAATCTGTTAATTTTTTTTTTTAAGTCTTTTTGTGCTCTTCTCACAGCTTACTTTCTCTCCCAACTATGTATTGTCAAGAAACTTAGAGGCATCACACTATCTCCTCCCATTGATTTAAAAGATAAATACTCGAGATAGAAACACTGATGTTTCTGGTACCCCACAACTTACAGCCTAAATCAAAATAATGCATTTTGTTACAGTGACCATAGTTCGGTAAGTGTTAAGTCACTTATGGATAAGGATAAGAGTAGTCGTCAGGTGAAAGCACTGAATTGTGGGAAGGCTAACTACTGTAATATTAGGCAGGAACTGGGGAATGTAGACCAGGGGCAGCTGTTTGAGAGTAAAGCCACATCTGGTATGTTGGAATCTTTTAAAGGCCAATTGACTGGAGTTCAGGACTAGCATGTTTCAGTGAAAATGAAGGATTGTCAAGAGAAAATGAGAGCTTAGTCAAAAAGAAAAAGGAAGCATATGGAAGGTGTAGGAAACTGAAGGCAGACAGAGCCCCCAAAGAAAACAAAGATGGCAGGAAAGAAATCAAACAAGGAATTAGGAGGGCTAAAAGGGGTCATGAAATATCTTTAGCAAACAGGGTTAAGGAAAATCCAAGGCATTTTATACATATAGGAGCAGCATGAGGGTAGGTGGGTAAAGGGTAGGGTGGGTAAAGGACAAAGGAGGCAGAGCCAGAGGAAATGGGTGAGGTCCTTAATGTCTACTTTACATCAGAATTCACAAAGCAGGAGGTCATGGTGGATGGGGAATCCCAGGGAGAGGGGGGTGGCGAAGGTAGAGGGTGGTGTGTTGATATTCTAGGGCATGTCAATATAAAAAAAGGTGGTGGCGTTAGGTGTTTTTAAAAGCGTTAGGATGGACAAGTCCCAAGGAACCTGATGGGCCCGATCCCAGAAGGCTGAGGGAGGCAGGTGAGGAAATTGCTAGGGCTATGTATGAAATCTTTGTATCTTCTTTAGTTACAGGAGAGGTGCCAGAGGAATGAAGAATAGCCAGTTTAAGAAGGGCAACAGGATAATGCAGGAAATTACAGACCAGTGAGCCTTATGTCAATGGTAGGGAAATTATTGGAGAAGATTTTTAGCAATAGGAGTTACTTGAGTCTGCTCTGCCATGAGCTTGTGGCTAATATGTCATTCCTATTACCAGTTTGTTCAATCCCATTTTGCATGAACATCTGCTTGATCACAGCACTGTCTCTCACTTTAGCACCATCAAAAGTCTGGAAGTCTTTAACAATCATTTAATCCTCTATTGCAGAAATTCAAGTTATACATCTGTGCAAGGAAGAACCTGATAGAATATAACAATAATATAGCATGAACCAGCTTTGAATATTCACAAAGTCATCACGTGAACATCTTGAGAATGCAAGTTGAGGAAAGTATCATATGATGCATACATAAGATACAAGCAAGAAAATTTGTTACAGGAATAGTATACATGATGCTGGACTGTGCAAGTGGAGAATATTTCCCCATTGCACAGAAACAAACGGTGCCCTTCCCTCATCGTGAGCATTGTTCCACCACCTGTATGCATGCACACCACTCTGTTTGCTAGCCTGCTCAATATTGCCCAATATCAGCTCCTGGAAGTCAAGCAAGAGATACTTTGACTGCTCAATGGTCATGCTCTTGCACTGAGTTAAAAGGTCATGGGTTCAAGTCCCACTCCACAGACATCTGCACATATTGCCGAGTGCTGCGGTGTCAGAGGTGCTATAGTTCAGCTGAGATGTTAAAACTAAGGCTGCAGGTACTTAAAAGAACTTTGATGCTATTTAAAAGAGATTGAGAGCTCTCCCTGTATTCTGGCTCATAGTCATCACTCAAAGTATAAAGGTTAAAATAGGTTACCTGGTTAATGTCATACTTTGTTTATAGAAGTTGTGAGAAAACCGATTACTGCATCTTCTACAACAGGTCTACACTATAAATCATTTAATTGGTTGTCAAGGGCTTAAGGACATCATCAATTAGCAATGAATTAGTGTGTTTTTTTAAAAGGCTGGGGCATCTCCATTTCCTTTCCACTCAAAACAAAGTCTAGCAACTGAATTGAACATGTTTGAACTAGTTATTACTGACTGACTGAAGTTACATACTGTTGAATTTAAGGATGATGAGGGATTTTTCGAATCAATGCTTCTACCTGCATGTAGCTATGCAGCAAGCCAGAATACACCACACATTTAAATAATCAAACTGTTCACAACTTCACGAAAGGTTGAGAGCTTTTAAAACATAATCTGCCTCTAAACCAAAAAGTAGAGACCAGAGGAATTTGTAGCCAACCCAGCACAAAGAAAAAAAAAAGAGAGAGAGAGAGATAATTGGTTAGATCACTTTGGAGACTATATTCCTAACAGGCACTTCTTGACATTTTTTCTGTTGGTTGTTCTAAGTAGTTTGGTCTGATTGATACCTCATGCAGGAAACAGATGACAACTTTACTGTAAGTGGTAGTTTCGTTTGGGCATACAATCATATTGATAAATTGCAAGTAACTGACCAACTAAAATATTGCAAGAGTTATAATTTGCACTGATTTGTGTACTTGCACTTAAAAATGATTTTTAATGGTATATCTAAGACTGACTTTCTCTCAATCAGTGGTCAGTCTGTGATTGAAGTTATGGCATTAATGTGAGGTACAATGGAATGAAACAGCTGAGCAATAAACTATGGACAATGCTTGAAAAGCTCATTCTTTGCTTAAGGTTGATATGGGAGAAAAATTTAGCTATTTTAAAAATGGTGAAAAAAATTATAATAACTGTTAATAAATTGTGTGGAGTTTTCTGCATTCAACTGATTTTTACATAAATTTGTCTGTAATATGGTGGTCCAGGAGCTGGACTTGAGTATGTCGATGTTTCTCATGCTCGACAAATCTACTGGAATTTTTTTTAAGGATATAACTAGCGGAGTTGATAAGGGACAGCCCATGGCGTGGTTTATTTAGACTTTTAGAAGGCTTTCGGAAAAGGTCCCACATAAGAGATCAGCATATGAAATTAAAGCACGTGGGATTAGGGATTGTGTAATGACATGGATAGAGAAATGGTTGGCAGACCGGAAACAAAGTAGGGATAAACGGGTCATTTTCCGAGTAACTGGCAGTGACTAGTGGGGCACTGTAGGGATCACTACTTGGATCCCAGCTATTCACAATATATATTAATGATTCAGATGAGGGAACTATAGTATCACCAAGTTGGGTGACCAGGTGAGCTGTGAGGAGATGCAAAAATGATGCAGTGAGATTTGGACAAATTGAATGAGTGGGCAATTGCATAGCAGATCAAGTATGTGAATAAATGTGAGAATATCCAATTTGGTAGCAAAAACAGTAAGGTAGATTATCTGAATGGTGATAGATTAGTAAAGAGGGAGATTGAACAAGACCTAGGTGTCCTTGCATGCAGGTGCAGCAAGTGGTGAAGGTGGCAAATGGTATGTTGGTCTTCCTAGCAAGAGAATGAGAATACAGGAACAAGGATGTCTTGGTGGAATTGTACAGGCCTTGGCGAGACAATACTTGGAATAGTGTGCGCAATTTTAGTCTCCTTATCAAAGGATGGATGTTCTGGTTATGGAGGGAGTGCAATAAAGTTTTACCAGACTGATTCCTGGGATGGCAGGACTAACAAATACAGATTGGATCAGTTTTTGAAGAATGCGGTTTTGAAGAATGAGGGTGGATCTCATACAAACTGAACAAATTTCAACAGGACTAGACAGGGTAAATGCAGGAAGGATGTTCCTGATGACTAGGATCCAGACCTAGGGGTCACAGTCTAAGGATAGGGGGTCGGTCATTTATGTCTGACGAGAGATGTCTTCACCCAGTGAGTGGTGAGTCTGTAGAATTCTCCATCACAGAAACCAGTTGCGGCCATAATATTGATTATTTTCAAGGAGGAGTTAGATATAGTTCTTAGGGCTAAAGGGTTCAAAGGGTTTGGGGAGCAAATGGGAACAAGACACTGAGTTGGATGATCAGCTCTATCATATTGAAAGGTGGAGCAGGCTCAAAGGGCCCATTCCTGCTACTATCTTCTGTGTTTCAGCCTTCCAGAGTCAAGTAGAACCTGAGGCAGAGCATAATATCTTCTGGCCAGCTACAGTAGTGACAAGGATGCTCTGTTCAATCCATGGGCTTACTTAAAAGTCAAACAGGTAAAGATGTACCCTGGACTACAGGGAATGCAAGATCTGCATATGGCAGCATGAGTCAGCTCAAGATGAAGTGTTAAAATTCAAAAATGAAGCATCTACATCATTCAACAATGTGGCACAGAAAGAAAGAATTTCCATTTATTTTGTGCCTTTTACAATCTCTGGATATCTCACAGACGATGAAGTAGTTTAGAACTGTAGTCACTGTTATGATGTTGTAATGAGATAATGGTCAAATAATCGAGTTTAAATGGCCCAGGAGCTTGTCCTGAGTATGTCTATGTTTTTCACGTTTGACAAATCTACTGGGACTTTTTTAAGGATATAACTAGTGGAATTGATAAAGGCAGCCCCAAGGTGTGGTTTACTTAAATGTTCAGATGGCTTTTGATAAGATAGCTTTGGGATAAACATTAGCCAGAAGACTGGGGAGAATGAACTTGCTGTTCTTTAAATAGCATCATTTGATCTTTTACATCTACCTTAGAAGGCAGCTTGGTATAACATCTCATCGCAAAGAGTAACAGTACAGCTCTACATCAGTGCACCAGAGTGTCAGGCTAGCTTGTGGTCAAGCCTCTGGAGTACAATCTTCTGCCTTTGAGGTGACAGTGTTAGAAATGCATCATGGTTGACATGCAATTAATGCTTTATGCTACCATTATCTTCTACAGAAAGTGCCTTACCTTGTAGAAGGAATAATTAAAGACTCTGTCTTTGTGATTTTTCCACTGGGAGGGAGCTTTTCTAGAAAGGTGTCTGCACTGATGCTTTCAGATGCTGCCGCTGCCTCTTCCTGCTGTATTTGATCCTATGGGAAACCAAGCAAAATAAAATGATGATTTAAAAATAGCACGTACTGTCGGCTGCATTCTCTTTGAATAATGCATGATCCATCTCCTTTTGCAATACCCTGGGGTCTTTATATTACTCAAGTGAAAGACAGCATTCAAAGTCAGCATAAAACAGCCACAATTCTGCATATGATCCAAGGTCGCAGATATTCCTGTAGAGGATTATTTAGTTATACAAGACTGCTTCAGATTAATTAATTTCTGATCCTCAATATTTAAGGTAAAGACCTGAATTGCATCACCAAATTTCACATGCTTATTACCCATCTTCATGCTATAAAGTATAAGATCTGTGTCAGTGACAGGCAAATTTGATGCAAAGGTTTAAACAGTTTGAACATTACATGTAGAATAATTAATACTGAGCCATAAGTCATAGGCTGGAACCTATTTGAGGGGTTCAGCTGGTTTAATATTGAATAATAGATGAGTGAGTTACAGCCTAGAAAGTAATGAAGGGCTCAGTCATTTTATATGTATGATACTTGGGAGTGCATTACAAGCTGAAGTATAATCAAGGAATTTATAAATCATTTACAGTGACTTGAGCTAGATCAACACTGTTCATATTTTGTTTCTGCGCTTGACCATTGTCCTATGCCTTATGGCTTTACATAGTCTCCAGTTATCCACACTATTCATTTGATAAGAAAGATCCACACATATACAGTATGTACCTTATTTTCCCTCACAATTTCAATGCTCAGCTCCTCCAAAACTTCCCTTTTTACATTTCTGCCCATCAGAACTCTGCTCCCAGATAAATTTCCCAGCTTGTCTCCAGTTTAAATTTTCCTTCTTTATCCAACATTCACTTTACACATCTAAGCCAACTAACATTGGTATCTCGGGATAACAAGGTGTAGTGCTGGATGAACACAGCAGGCCAAGCAGCATCAGAGGAGCAGGGAAGCTGACGTTTTGGGCCTAGACCCTTCTTCAGAAACATTGGTACCCATTACTCTTTCTCACCTCTTCCTTGAACTCCATCTCGAGGCTACATGTGGTATACTGCCTGAAGATGTATTTTGCAAAATGCACAAGTATACTTACAACTAACAGTGTATTGGAAATGCTATCCATCTGAAACTTGCTTGCAGAGCTCTTGAGCTTTTCGGGTGCATCTACCTAAATGAAGCAAAAGTTGAACAGGATTAAAAAGACATTTTTTTGACATTATGAACTGAAATGAAAAAGAACTGCTTTAAAATCCAGTGTTCTAAAGGATTACTGCATACTTTGAAAAGCAAGTAACCTGACTCTCATGGCAAACATCATGTAAACAAACATCGGCCTGAAGAAGCATATTGAAGTTTGGATTGCAGACGACCTGGAGCCGAGGGGCTGTCCAGTTGGAATCAAGGAATTGATTGGAGATAGTAAGAAATGCTGATTCTGGAGTGTGAGATAACAGTGTAGAGCTGGAGGAACACAGCAGGCCAGGCTGCATCAGAGGAACAGGAAAGCTGACATTTTGGGTCGGCTCCTTCTTCAGTAAAAGGGTCCTGAACCGAAACGTCAGCTTTCCTGTTCCTCTGATACTGCCTGGCCTGCTGTGCTCCACAAGGAATTGATTGGTCTTGGAACTGACGATCAGTTGTCAATGACAAAAGCCTTTTGCCTGCCAACAACTGAACAGCTTGGGGCTAGATAGAGGGAAATGATTTGATCTCCACCAGTTCAGGAGCTGTATCTTGGTTCTTAGCAGTCAAAACCTACTTTAAAGTTAAAGAAAACCAGTTTATCTTTCCTTCAACAGTTGTCGCAAGCTGCAATATTTTAGTGATACACTCAGGACCTTTTATAAGCAAATCAGCTACCTTGTGTGTGTTGCAAACCAGTGGGAGCATCCCAAGAAAGATAACTGAAAAGCAACATTCTAAACATTATAAGAATCCTAAGGATTATCTCAGCAACACTTGAATAGAAACCACTGAACTGCCTTCCCAGTTTTCCTTCGTCAATAACCTATTTTTCTGTGTGTGTGTGTGTGTGTGTGTGTGTGTGTGTGTGTGTGTGTGTGTGTGTGTGTGTGTGTAAAGGGGGGAGGGTTTTATAAGGAAACTAGAGTTTTAATTTGCAGTATTATTTGCTGACAATTTACAATTGTAAATCTGTAGTTACAGTTTTGGAGATAATAAGGTCTGCATATGCTGGAATCTAGAATCTATAGGTGTGAGGCTGGAAAAGCACAGCACATCAGACAGCATCCGAGAGCAGGAATCCAGTGGAAGCAGCCAGAGAAAGGTAACTGAAAAGCAACATTCTGAACACCATAAGAATCCTAAGGATCATCTGACCAACCCATGAATAGAAACCACTGAACTGCCTTCCCAGTTTTCTGTCATCAATAACCTATTTTTCTCCATCTGTGCGCCCTGAGGAAGAGTTTCGGCCTGAAACGCTGATTTTCCCACTCCTTGGATGCTGTCTGACCGGCTGTGCTTTTCCAGCCTCACACCTATAGACAAAGACTGTAGTTAGAGTCTAGTCACTCGTAATAAAATGGCAATTCCTGTTAAGTACAGAAACCTGCTCTGTAATTTCTATCAACTAGGGTTTGAAAATCAGGTAATTTGGGGAATTCTGTGTACTTATTTTAAAATTTCTGTGACAACTCTGAGAATAGAGCAGGGCTTGAATTCCAGTGCACTATCCCAGTGAGGTATGACAAGATAGTCAACAAGCTCACAGCTAAAAAAACAGAAAACTAAGTCTAACAGCCACTTGATTGGCAGAGGATGTACTGAGGAAGAGAGGGTTTCTAAAAAAACAAAAAAAGATAAAAAAAAAACGGTCCCAAGCCAAGACCTAGTACTTTAATGATTTTAAATTTGAAATATAGTCAGCGCTGGGGAGTGAACATGACAGGCTGTTACCATAGTTTGTCTCATACCGATTTTAACCTTGGCAAAATCTTCAGTCCTTTCTTCATGGCTGTTACATTATTCTTAAAATAGAGTACCCAGAACAGAACATAATCATCTAACTGTATTGATCCATGAACATTTAGCATTACTTCATTACACCAATGAGAAAACCCAGCAACCCACATGCAGTTTTAAAATCAGGTTCATTTGCTTCTGTACCCATTTCTAAAATCTCTACATCCTACAGGTCTTCACTCCCCTACTGATTTTAAATTATTAATAATATTTAAGTACATGTGGTTCTTATTGTTTCTCTCAAAAAGTGTCATTTCACATCTTTATCTTAAGGTCAGGTAAAATCTATCTGTAAACGGAGTTTAGCAAGATTCTTTGTTTTGAGTTTATCTCTGTGAATAGTGTCCGGCGAGAACCAGCAGGCAAAACTGATTGATATTGGATTTAAAAATTCAGCTGATGGTATTAATGTACATGTCAGATCCCAGACTGAAGCCTGGCTTAATTGAGCACACGTCCTTTTTTGTTTTGTTAGTTGGCACAGTGGTTAACACATTCACGAGGTTGTAAACCTTCTTGAACAACTAAACAAAAGTTTTTTCCACAAAAGAAAAAGAAGCTAAGTATTGAACACGATTAGAATGATCTTACATCACACAGCAAAACAAAGTTTCAACTTTCCTCCTAACACTGTCTGTTACAGAAACTCATGTCTAGAGAAATTAGATGATTACTAAACTCGTTAGGGTTCTACTTAACTGACTCCCGACAGTTTCTTTGTCATGGACTGTGGAGACAGTTTTGCCTTCTGGCTCTGCCCCGAAACTATTCACAGAGATAAACTCAAAACAAAGGCTCTCACTAAACCCAGTCTATTACCTAATCTGACACATATGGCCTGTTCTACATTAGTGCAAATGCACTGCCTTTTACTTAATAGATTCTTGCTAATTCTGACATGAAATAATCTGAGATTCAAAATTTTCTCAGTTCTAATAAAGAGTAGACTTCTTATCCTAACTCTCCGGGTTTTGAAGTTTCATAAATTAAACCCTTCTGTTGCGGGGAGTTTCACCCTAAACTCCTTCTAGGAGCATAAGTAAACTTGCTTCTAAACAACGATGTCTTCTGAACGGAATTAAAAACTTGCTTAATCTCCTAACTCTATTGAACTGAAAATAAAGCTAATGGCCTTACAATGATTACCGTACTTATTATAAGCCTAACGGTATAAAGATATATTTTCATTACCACCACAGGAGCCTGCAGTCAATTGCTTTTTGAAAAAATGCTGGATTTAGACACTGTTTCAGAAGGACTTCCTGACTTCCCCCTCAAAAGAGTTCAAGTCAAGAATAAAGCCAGTCCAACACCTAGAGTAGAGTAAAAGCTAGGTCTATTGTCGCTGAGACAGACCGTAAGTGAGAAATGGTATTCAGTATAAGATAGAGGTGGAAAAAGGGCAAATGGTTAGAAGAATTACTTAACTGGAAGCTAAATTTAAAAAAAAAGCAGTACTTTAGAGAAAGGCAGTCAACCTTGTTGAAGCTGGAGTTCTGGAAGTAGCACGCTTAGCTTTATTTTAACCATACCAGTGGCTACTGCACCGTGATATTCCCTGAAAGATCAGGCAGCTAGTGAGAAAAGAAACCAGAGAGTATGAGAAGGAACTGGAAGCTCACATGAAAGGGAAGGTGCAAAAACAGAGTTCTGAGAACCAAAGAACGTTGATGCAGAGATAGTAGGAACTGCAGATGTTGGAGAATCCGAGACAACAAGGTGCAGGCATGGATGAACACAGCAGGCCAAGCAGCATCATAGGAGCAGGAAGGCTGACGTTTCGGGCCTAGACCCTTCATCAGAAAAAGGGGAGGGGAAGGGGGTTCTGAAATAAATAGGGAGAGAAGGGGAGGCAGATAGAAGATGGATAGAGGAGAGGATAGGTGGAGAGGATTACGAGAGAGTTGCACTGGGAGAGAGATCCCCGGACGTTTGTCCGGAGGGAGGAGGGTAACTTCTTCAGGCTAGGCATCCTTAGAAGAGGCTTCGCAGTGGGGTTAAAATTGAATCAGAGATAGTAGGAACTGCAGATGCTGGAGAATCCGAGACAACAAGGTGCAGGGCTGGATGAACACAGCAGGCGAAGCAGCATCATAGGAGCAGAAAGGCTGACGTTTCGGGCCTAGACCCTTCATTAGAAAAGGGGGAGGGGAAGGGGGTTCTGAAATAAATAGGGAGAGAGTGGGAAGCGGATAGAAGATGGATAGAGGAGAGGATAGCGAGAGAGTTGCAGTGGGAGATAGATCTTCTAAGGATGCCTAGCCTGAAGAAGTTACCCTCCTCCCTCCGGACAAACCTCAGGGGATCTCTCTCCCACTGCAACTCTCTCGTAATCCTCTCCTCTATCCATCTTCTATCCGCCTCCCACTCTCTCCCTATTTATTTCAGAACCCCCTTCCCCTCCTCCTTTTCTCATGAAGGGTCTAGGCCCGAAACGTCAGCCTTTCTACTCCTATGATGCTGCTTGGCCTGCTGTGTTCATCCAGCCCTGCACCTTGTTGTCTCGAACTTTGTTGCAAGTTGACCAATAAAAGCAGTAACAGCAAAAGGATTTCTTTTTAACACATCTAGTGGTTGGAATCTGGAATGCAGGGCTTAGTGAAAGCAGAAATAACCATGACTTTCAAAAGAAAAGAAATAAATGCAGGGTGACAGTGAAAGAGTAGGGGAGTTGGGACTGCTAACATTGCTCCTGCAGAGTTGACACAGATGCAATGAACTAAATGGCCTCATGCTGTGCTATAACTATTCTATGATGCTTTATCTGAAAATATGCTCCTTGGTATCATCTGAATGGTTCAGCTCTCACTCGAGGGTAAATATTTGAGACTCTCACTAGAGAAAATAGTAAACTGCTTCTAGACTTCACTCTTAAATAGGCAGGTACAAAATTTATTATATCTGTTTGTTCTGGTCTCCTGATCTCAGAACATTACAGAACCCTGCTTTTCAACAGATCCATAGAAAGTATCAATGAAGCTTAAGCAAAAGCAGGGTACTTTAGATACCAGAAACCTGAAATTAAAGCAGAAAATGCTACAGAAACTCAGCAAGTCTGGCAGCTTCTATGCATAGATAAATGTTTCAAAGCCAGGTCTTCAGAGATGCTGAATTCTCAGCGCATCCTGTTTTTAGATCAAAGAACTGCAATATTGTGTCCACAACTTCTTATAAGAAAATGCC